AAGACTGATTTCCTGAGAGAACATAAGAATGTAAAAGAAGCCACGTTGGGTCAGGCCAGTGGCCCGTCCAGTCCAACACTCTGTGTCACACAGGGGCCAAAACCCTGGTGCCATAGGGAGTCCCACTAGCGGGGCCAAACAAACCTCTTACTTTTATTGAATTAGGTCCAAACTCATTGTAGTTTGGTGTCGTGGTTAAGTGTGTGGACTCTAATCTGGGAGAACTGGGTTGGATTCCCCACGCCTGCACAGGCAGCTGCTGGATGACCTGGGGCAAGCCACAGTTCTGTCAGAGCTGTCCTTGAAAGAGCCCTTGAAGGGGCTCAAAAAGTCCCTCCCCCCAAAAAAACCCCTAGAGGGGCGAGGGCTTCCAGGAGAGAAATTAAGGATTAGGTTTCACAGGATTCTTGGTTATTTTTAACCATGAGGGGTTTTGTAGGATTCTGGCAAGCAATCAGCTGAATAGAATCTCATGTCCTAGACAACCTGGTTGGGAAACGAAAGAAAGAAAGGTGAGTAGAAAAGAATAGAACAAGCAGGGGCCCGCGAGACTCATGGGAGGGAAGCCAATCTCCCCCCATTGTCTTGCCAAGCATGGCACGGCCCCTGGCCTCTCCAGCAGCCACCGCCAGGCCCAACAGAGTTCCTGGGGTGCCTCATTGCTGTATGGCACTCAAACTCTCTGGCATCCACTGCCTGGCATGGGCCCGGGCTGCTCTGCCACCGCCGTGGCTGTCACCCGGCCCGCCACAGCGCCAAGGCTCCACCACACTGAGGTAAGAAGGAAAGAGCTTTTTGGAAGATTTAAATCCCTCTATGTATTTTTTTGTAAAAAAAAAAATCATATTTTTCTGCAACCCTGGGGAGTGCCCCAAGTTTGCTGAAAAATCTGTTTAGCTGCCATGTGGCCCCAATCTGCAGATTTAGCTACCCACGGATGGAAGCTACAGGTGCCTAACAGTATATAGAGGATAGAATAGAATAGAATAGAATAGAATAGAATAGAACAGAATAGAATAGAATAGAATAGAATAGAGCTAGATACAAGTCCAGCTGTCAGCTAGCTGCCATTTCTGTGTAGTCTGCCCTTCCCTGTTCCTGCCTTGCTTGCAGCTCAGCAGCTTGCCGTAAACATGCCAGGGAGGCCGTGGGAACTAGACGCCATTATCAGTCTGGCCTTGTGAAGTAGGGAGGGCTTGTGGTCCACAGTCGGTGTGACTTTTTCTGCTCTCAGGAAACCCTGCGACTCTCCCGCTCATTATGTAATCTCCCGCCGGGAGTCTTCCCGCCCGCCCGTGCTCGAAGTTCCTTTGCTTAGCTAATGGCCTTGCCCAGCTATATGTATTGGGATGTTCCCCCCTTCTAGTTATTCCTAACAATAATCCTGTGGACATGGTACCAGTCTTGTACACTAATAAAGCATAACGCATAACGCTTCTTAGGAAGCGTGTGTGGAGAGTTACTTGCTGTGGAACCTGACACCAGCAGTACCTTAAAGACCAACCAGACTCTTGGGGTATTAAATTTCTAGAGAGAGACTTTGTCAGATAGGAAAGGAGCTTTGACTCTCGAAAGTTCATACCCCGAAAATCTCGTTGGTCTCTAAGGGGCTACTACTAAATCTGTTTAGCTGCCATGTGGCCCCAATCTGCAGATTTAGCTACCCGCGGATGGACGCTACAGGTGCCTAACAGTATATAGAGGATAGGATAGGATAGGATAGGATAGGATAGGATAGGATAGAATAGAATAGAATAGAATAGAATAGAATAGAATAGAATAGAATAGAATAGAACAGAGCTAGATACAAGTCCAGCAGTACCTTAAAGACCAACCAGACTCTTGGGGTATTAAATTTCTAGAGAGAGACTTTGTCAGATAGGAAAGGAGCTTTGACTCTCGAAAGGTCATACCCTAAAAATCTCGTTGGTCTCTAAGGGGCTACTACTAAA